AGTAACAAACAGTATTAGTCAGAAAAACAACTATCATATATAAATAATTTAATTAAAGGCTTACCAGATGTTCAGGAACAAGTTACACAAGAAAACGCTAATGACAAAAAGGACCAGGGCGAGGACGAAATAGAAGAAGGAGTACAAAAACCTGAAAATTTGGTCAATAACGCAGATCAGCGATTTGAATGCTGGCATAATTGGACAAAATCCTTATATGCAACTACAGAAAAAAATAGTAGTACAACAAGAAAAAAGAGCGTTGTAAATTTAAACCCATTCTTCGTAAAGGAAGCTGCCAAAAAAATTAAGGATTTGATGTACTACTTGCCTCCTTGAACAAAAATAATGTTTCCGACATTCAAATTAAAATTAACGATAAGCAGATCATCGGCAAGTGTTGAAGGTGAATTTTTTAAATTAAAAAATCAAGTTTTTGAAAAATTGCCTCTTAAAGTTGACAAGCTCATTCCCTTGCATTGTGATTACTTAAGCGGAGAATTAAAAGAAGCTGGATCACAAATGCAAGGATCTGAAATTGAAATTAAGAAGAGAAAAAAAAACGTAGCAAACAAATCTGTAAAAAAAAAAAATTTTTATCTCTTTACGAATCGTTACAATGTGAAGAAAATTAGAAAAATAGGAATCATCAGACAAAGAATTCACGAACTTCTCTACAAGATGTAACAAACTTGGAAACTGATCTTTCTGACACATGGAATCCGTTTGCTCCAACCTTTCCTCTAATTATGACGATTCCACTGATACAACAACTTACGTTAACAACACAATAGACGAAAACAATACTAATGACACCCTGCAAGAGGAAACCGTTCGATCAGCTGTTGGAGAAGTTAAAGAAAGTGTGAATAATATTATTCTTCTAGATGCGAAACAAAATATAGAAGCTAATTATTTAACAAAATGTCCAGCTTGGGATTCCATAACAGGGATTGTAAATATTGCAATACGTATTCTAAAAAACGGTAGTTTATCCGACACTTTGCATCTGCAAAACAAATGCAAAGTAACAATAACTGAGACTTGTGGTTTTGACAGTGTGTTAATGCTAATAATACAGGGCATGTCTATAAGCCAAGAGTTTAAAACTACCTTGGAAAAGTCTGATATTCCTGTTGGAAATATTAGACAGAATACATACAGAAGATTTTTAAATTAGAAGTTTCAATTGTAATGTTCTGTACTTTTTATTGATAAGAGTTTAAGATTAAAGTGTTAATGGGTAATTTGTTAATATAATTTGTAGAACTCTGATTACTAAATCGAGAACTCTACTCAGAACTCAGAAAAAATTAATTTTTGGCTAAATTCTATTTTTTATTTTTCAAAGTTCTGTAGATTTATAAATTTTGAGTTTAGATGAAAAGTTTGTTAATATAATTTGTAGAACTCTGATTACCGAATCGAGAACTCTGCTCAGAACTCAAAAAATAAATTTTTTGCAAAATTCTTTTTTTTTTATTTTTTCAAAGTTCTGTAGTTTTTTAATTTTGCGGAACTATTAATTTTTCTATTAGAGAACTCTAGAACTCTTGATTTACTATCAATCGACCATGTCAGAACTCTTTTTTATGTTAATTATGGTGCTACGCGATGTTAGCACCCAATTTTTGTTAAATTGAGTTTTTCAATGATAATTACCAGAACTATTGAAAAAATTGTTATAGAATTGCAGAACTATTCCTAACACAGGTTTACAGTGAAATTGTCACTCGAACAAAACATTTTTTTTTCGATTAATATGTGTTTTTGAGTAAGAAAATCATATTTTAAATTTTTTTCCCTCGTGCAACTTTTTTGGAACAGCAAATTATGCATTTTCGAGGTGTGACGTCACATAAAGTCAACGGTAGAGAAAGCAGTTCATCCAAATGTATAAAAAAAATCACCATTTGAAAGATAATTAAATTACCTCTCAAACCATTGGTCAACCAATAAAATCCATTCAAAATTGTCAGAGTATTATATTAATATCTTTTACAAAAAATATTAATTTTTGTTGTATAGATGATAGTGGGGACATGCTAGACAAAGACGTTTTGACAGCTCATAACTGTTTTAAAGTAAAATTATAAATAAAAACAACTATTGGCTTTTGTTTGTAAACAAAAAAATTAGTTCTTCACGTTGGACTTATTATTAACTGATTTATTAAGAAATATGAAGGACATGTAATTTTTTTTACGATTTTTTATTAATTAAATGCCAATAATACCAAAAAAATTTGAAGATAAATTTGTTCCTTCCATAATTTAATTGGTTAAACTTGAATTATTTTCTCGATTTTTTGGAAGGTTGAAATTGCAAATAAAAATTCTCCTTTTTCCACTATTTTTGTATTACAACGTTTCGTTGATTAATTTTGTCAACATAAAAAATTCAAATTTTTTAAAACGTTACATATAATTATAACAAACTGAGATGTGCACAGTTCTTCAGTTATGAGAAGACTGAAGAGAAATAAAAATATCACATTTTGAAATGTATCTTTTAAGGTAAAAACCTTGAAGGTATTCTCATAACTGGAGAATTGTGCACATCTCCACAAATTGTAATAATTGTTTTAAAATTATTTTGACTTTTTTGTTATATGGGGAAATCTCACGAGCCGGTTACGAATTGCGTACTGCGATATCGGTGCCGCAAAAAACCTCCAAATTGTCAATTCACATTTAATTTACATTTGTTAATATTACTCACGAGTGTGAAAAATTAAAAATGGTCTTAGTAGGCAAAATTAGATATTTAAACAATATATTTCTTCACTGAAATCGAAGAAATATAGAAAATCCTGATATAACTCGCATTAAATCTAATTTTCATTCAACGATAATGTTAGTTGATGGGTATTATGGCCCTGCAACTGGTGCCTAGCGCCTCAAGTGTTCGTGTTTTTTACAATACCAGATCAGAGATTTTTTCTATCAATCAGTTTTACCGTTATACAAATACAAAGAATCTCATGTGTTACATGCAATAAACGTGCTAATTGGTAAATTGTGTTTATTTGATCCCAAAATCCGTAACAGATAACTTTTTGAGAAATCGTTTTTAATGCTTGGGGTTTTTTGTCATTCATTTATGGGTTCTAAAGGATTAAAAAATGTGTATTAGACAAGTGTGACACTTGTGATATGCGAGATAATGAGTTATTCATAAGTGTAACTACATTTTTGCTGATTTTTGAAAATCATCAATTTTCTTATAATACTTTTTCAGCGATCATTATTTAACATTCGCCCATATAAAATTTACATTTTCAGCTCTCCAAGAAAAGAAATCTGGGTGGTATAACATTGTGCCACCTAACATTTCTATGTAATCGTTCTGGGAAAACGCGCAACGAGTGCGTAACTCGTTCCCAAAAAATGGTTTATCGACGAGCACAACAAATTATACGTAAAAAAATGTAGATATCCTTTTGTAATTTGTTGTTTTAGTATAAATAAATATGTGTGAAAAATGATCACCCCTAAAATTAACATTGAGGGTTGATATTAAAATTTTTCACGAGAAAATTGGTTCATTAGTCTGTTTAAAGTGCCCTTGAAGAAAAAAATATATTTGAACTATCCCGGGTGGAATTTTAATGAATGAAATCCATGAAGTTTCATTATTATTATAATTAAAATTTACATCTTGTCAGGTACTTATACAAATTTTGAAATTTATATGAAATTGTTAATTTCGATATTTTTTCTAATTACGATTTTCGTCCTTCTTTCGCCACACAGATGATTTCTTTCTTAGAGTAGCTTTTCTGAGTATAAAACGATTGATATCAATAAGGATATTATCACAGTAAAAATAAAATCTTCTATAAAGATTACTCCTAAGTTTAATCAGTCTTAAAAATCAAGATAGTTTTAATTTAAATGGGAATTAGTGTGTATCTTAAAATATAACTCATTTTCCTCCTTGAAATAAAATTCTATTTTAATTGTGAACATGTTTTTACGTTTAAGATTAAGGAAAATGGAGTTAGGAACTTTGTTTGAAAACATTTTCTCTTAAAAATACGTTTTACCTGCACTCATAACCACAAAAATGAAAAATATGATTTAAATCGAGTAGCTATTAGGAAATATGAATTACGCGGGTAAAAATTTACTTATATTTGGTCGAAAAATAATAATTTATGGTAGAAAAAAGTGTGCGACTAAATTGAAAATAATTTTTTTTTTAAACAAAAAGAACCCAGCTCGTGAGATATGCCCATATATATGTGACGTGTTAAAAAATTTGCATTTTTTGTTTTATTACAAAAATTGAGAAAATAATTCAACTTCAACCAATATCAAGAAAAGTTTTGTCTATAATAGTTGTGTGAAATTTTTTTTATTAAATCCACCTACTTTTCAAGCTTTGAGGGACCTCCTTATTCATAGAAAAATTAAATTTTATAGAGCAAAAGAATAAGTACATTGCAGAATAGAAACCTAACCGGAATCGTAATCGTAAACGCAACCAAAAGAATAAGTTAGAGAAGGAAAAACAATCAATCTATCCTTCTCTAACTCATTCTTCCGGTTGCGTTTGCCATTACGATTCCGGTTACGTTTCTATTCTGCTCAGGCTTTGAGGGACGCAAGCGATTTCCGAGAAGTGTGAAGTTTGCTGCGCGAGCGCAGTAATCATAAGAATCGGGAATCGTCTCCCCTCATAAATTGCACTTTTTTTACTTTTTCCAAAAACTGCGCAGGAAGTGTGGTTCGGAGGTTGTTGAGAGGGGAAGAATCAATTGATTTCGAGATCCACTATCCAAATACATAGGAGTTGAGCCGTATAGGAGCAAATTTACTTTGATCTCTAGTGGCAAACTTAGTAGAAGTCGAATTAAATTCTGCAACTGGATCGAAGAATCGATGCGTTTGTCATTTCTCAACTAACCTCCGATGTCGCACTTCGTACGCAGTTTTTGGACAAAATCAATTACTACACCATATACAATTATTCTTGATAATATTTGTAAATTTTACCTTTTCTCCTTTAGCTTTAGCCAGTACCGCGTTCCATGCTTCTTTTTTTTTAATTTCATCAGCTTTCTCTACTTCTCCATTTTCAACAAGTTCTTTAACTTTCTGTTTCTTCAGTTCAATTTTTTGTAATATTTTTTTAGAATTTTTTTCATTATTTAATTTTCTTTTTGTACCAACTTGAGAAAAATCAAATTTACTAAAGACCATGTGGCCTTCAGAATTAAAGATTGGCTTTTGTTTTGGAATTTTTGAGGCTTCGACACATTCTTCTTTAGCTTTAGAAGAAGCAGCAGCTATTTTTTCTGTTCTTGCAAGTTTTTTCTGCATTATACGTTCTTCCTTTTTGGATTTTTTCTTTATTCTACTTTTTAAACCTTTTTTTAAATTTCGATCTCTATAATCCAATCTTCCTTTGCTTTTTAGTTCATCAAGCCGTGCATATAATTCTTCGAAAGTTTGAGCTCTTTTTACCTTCTTATCACCCATCGGCACTGTGAACAAATTTAACAGAAAATATTCATTTCATGACCACTTAGCTTCCTCATTATGATAAAAATAAAGAAGAATTTTATAAATATTGGTCAAATATAAACATTATATACATCAATCGATTCGTTTTGATGCCAGCAATATAATTTTGACAAGAATTGATTAAAATTTCAATATAGGAGAAAGTTATTTCAAAAAATGATTTTTCTCAAATATTCCAAAAAATTATTTAATCTATTGACTTCAGTAAAATATATGAAACTTAAACTGGCACCAAGTTAATTTTGAAAAAGTCCTAAAATTTGGTTTTTTCATTTATTGGGTAAAATATGCAAAATTGAAAAAAAAATTTAGTTATAAGTTGTAGATCTTATTGTTATATATTTTTTATATTCTATGCATTTTTTTTATTTTGCCTCAGGATCACTTTCCTAGGAATCTTTTCACATGTAAATTTATTTATTTTTACATATTTTTACGATTATAGGAAATTCATTTCATTCATTCATTCATTCATTTTATTAATTCTGTAATGAGAATAATTCTATAAAAATATTATCAAGAAAATTTATTTCGAATATTTCAGAATCGAACTAATTGTAAGACAAATTTTCAAAATTTTATTGAAGTAGGAAAAAAAATTCTAAAAAAATCTTAAATTTCCATTTTTATACTTTTTTAAAGTCTGATTTAAGCAATTTCTTCGAATTAAAAATTTATTAAATTTTGTCATAGTTTTTAGTTTCGATGGTCAAAAAAATTTCAAGCAATACTTAATCAAGTTTTACAGATTTTTAAATTCTAAATTAATTATATTTCCTTTAAAAAGTGTCTAAGGGTATATAAAGTAAGAAACAATATCAATCATAAGTAGAAACACTTCTTAAGTGCATGAATTTGATCCCGATCGTGGTCCTGTACTGGGTTTAAAAGTATTAGAATAAATTTTTTATTGAGCAAAAAAAAGAGAATGGCGGCACTGCAGCTGTTCAAACTTAGTTCCTTAATTTTGCGCCGTGGATTGGCCAGGTCTTTGTAATTAACGAAAATCAACAAACTAAATTATTTTAATAAAATAAGTTATTCCGCTTCGAATTAATTTCAATTGAGTAAAAGAAAAAATTAATTGAAAATTTAAAAACATTAAAACTAGTGATGCACGTCGGACGAAAAGATCGGGAAATAACGATTACGATAAAAATTATCGTCTTTTTAAACATTATTATCGTTCGGATCGTTATCGGTTCGACAAGCTCGACAATCTGTCGATCAAAGTTTTGTTTAAAATGAAGTACGCGTTGAAACAGTCATTTGACAAATTTCTATTGGTTAATTTAAAAAAAATTGACGTAAATTTCATGCATAAAACTGCATTAAATTAATAGAAAATTTTGATTTAGATATATAATTAATAATAAAAAAATTAATAAACTAAATTTGTTATTAATATTAAAAAAATATTTAATAAACTGTAATTGTTACTCTAGAAATAGATATATTCATGGATGAGAAGTTTTTAATTTAATTCAATGGTTAATACTTTTAATTTAAACATTTTTCAAAATACATTATTTCATAGTGTATGTATAAATCCTTTTTTGTAGTTTAACAAAATCAATTTAAAAATATATTGTAATAATGAGAAACTTTAAATTCTGGACATTTTAATAGTTCAATGAAAATTTTTATATTAATTTTAAATTACTGCTTTTTAAAAATATTTACAATAAAATTAATGAATTTTTGTTGCTTTAAAATTTATATCTTTCTTTTAATAGATAATAAAATAACACATTATAAGCCAATAATTTTAAAAATCACCTTTTTAATAAATAACATGTAACAATAAAAATTTTTATGACATTTTATTTATTTAACAAAGCAGTTGATAATATATAAACACTTAACAATAAACTTTGAAATAAAAAACGGAATAATGTAAATATATAACTACATACATTTTTAAGTAATACATTTTCAAGAAAACTAAAATTTCAAAATTTTTTTGTGTACTAAATTTTACCTTAACTTAAACATATTCAATAATTCAATGAAATCTTAAGATTTCATTGATTTGTTGATTTTATCTTTTAAGGAACAAGTTACCCATGAGTTTAGACACATGAGGTATTTTATCGAATCATTGTCCAATCTATTTCGATGTTTACGAATTGTGAGTGATCCACGAGAAAAAAGCCTTTCAGCCGGAACCGATGTTGCTTCCACACTAAACAAATCGCGAGCCATTTTAGATAGAGTCGGATATAATGTTTGAAAAAATCCTCGTAAGTTTAGCGATTTCGTTTCACCTTTTGATACCTCAGAATCAAGAGGTGTTAAAGTACTTGGATCATCATATAATAAAAAATCATTTTTTAAAGTATTTATTAATTAATATAAAGAATTATTTATATTAATGTTTTTTAAAATTTAGAAATAAATGTTCTCAGAAGAAAAATTGTTTTAAATATTATTTTACATGGATTTTAATTAATTAATATATTATACCTGTTTGTAATATTGAATTTTGAAAATTGAGTGAAACTTTTCCAAGGAAGCTTTCTTCATGTCTTTTCCCCAGCTCGTATTATCGAATGCTTGAAGTTTATGCCTCGGATCTTAGAGGAGAACCCCGCAGTAAACCCAATTGCTATTTAGGTAATGTTTAATCAATTTTTCGTAGCAAGCTTCTAACCCTTTTAAAATAGCATTGTCTGTCCAAGAAATATCTTCACTAGACTTGCTTCTCAAATCTTCAAAAAAAATGAAGTAATCCGGTCCAAAAGCAAATTGAAACCTATTATAGTAAGTGGCAAGGTGACGTACTTTTCTCCACTTAGAATCTCAGTAAGTTCTTTAAAATAACTTAAAAATTCAAAGATGTCTGACAACAATAACCATTCGTACTCAAAAATTTTATATTTCTCAAGACTTTCGTTCTTGTCACACAGAAAACTTAACGCTCGTTTCATTTTGAGAGTAGATTCTATCATTGTGAAAGTAGAATTCCATCTGGTTGAATAATCCATTTTGGGAAGATACATTTTTTCCTCTGTTAAACAGCAATTTTGTAATTTATTACGCCATTGTTCTGAAAATTTTAATTTTTTGAACAATTTTCTCAATTTGTCAAGAGGAAAATTTTCGGTCTTCTCATCTAAATTTTCATGAGCTTGAGCTTTATCGGTATTAGAAGTTGAAGAATTATCAGATGTTTCTTCGACAGTTTCCTTATTTTGTTCTCCATCGATATTTCCATCGTAATCGTTTTCATTTTCACCTTCACGTCGTCGATCGAGTTTTAATTGGCTCAAAAAGTCTTGGACACCTAAATGCATGATGTGGGCGTAACATTTAAATCGTTGATCCTTAGGATCAAATGGCATCAATTTTGCCAATTCTGCAACAAAAGTCGTGTTAGCTGCAGTATTATCTAACGTGATCCCTTGAATTTTGCTTTGCAGGTTGTGGGCTTCAACATGTTTGTAAAAAACTTCAGCAATTTCCTTTCCAGAATGCTTTCCACAAGAAGGAATAAAGAAAATTGCTAAAGCCTGCATGTCCCAATTTTCATCTACAAAGTGTGCTGTTACTCCAAAATATGAACGATTTGCTATCGATGTCCAGCCGTCTAGGGTGAAAGAAATTTTAGAATCATTGCTACGTAGAATTTCAAATACGTTTTTCTCCATATACGCATATCTTTTCGCAGTTAAATTTCGAAGTTCGTTTCTTAAGGGTACGTTAGCATTCTGATTTAAGTAATGAAATAAATCTTGAGTAACAGAATCAGAGAAGAAAGAAAATGGCAAATATTTCTTCGCAATCAGATCTAAGATTTTTTCATTGAATGTTCCTTGCACAAAAACCTATAGTAAATATATAATTTACTTTTTAATTAAAAAATTTAAATTATTAGAATTTTGTAAATTAACTGGGTATTAAAATTTTTTAAATTAAAAATAAACAGAAATTTCATTTTCATTATTGGCTCTTTCATTCAGTAATTTATTAAATAAATATTATTTATTGAAATGCAATTTATTTTCAGATTTTTGAATAAAAATATTTTTTTTCTGTTTGTGAACCATTTTTAAAAACGAACGAAATTTGTTTCATTGTAAACAATTTACATTATTTGTAAAATAATTAAATTTTTTCATAAATTCGTTCGGTGAAGTTGAAGAGAATCTTTTGGGAAAAGAATAAGCCATCATCCGTTTAAATTACACAATTTAAAAAAAATATTATATTAAATATATTAATTAAATAAATAACTAATAATCAAAGTTTCATTAGTTTTTTTTATCATTCTGATGACTAAAACTACAAAAAATAAGTTGTATTTGTACTTCATGAGTTGTTTTTGAAACCAATTTCTTTTCTGGATAGGTTTTGTCAGGTAAACACAATTTGCATCTTCCCATTTTGCAACCATCTTTAATAAAATAGGCAAACGATTCTTCTAGGGAAAGGGCATTATTTTTACGTCTTTTTGATTTAAATGATGCATTTCAATTTTCTTCTTCAGTACTGTACAACGTGAAAAATCAGTAAAAAATATATTTAATTACTTATAAAATAAATATTTTTTACAATTTAACGATTAATTTTTACAAGGAAATTTTTATTTTTAAATCCATAAATTAATTAATTATCACAAATATTATTAATCTTTTAACTTAATGTAATTTCAAAAAATGCTTTTTATTATTAAACCTTGACTGAATATTTTCCGCTTCTTCATTAAAAGAATTACTTTTTCTTTTTTCGCCTGCAGACATAATGTTTGAAAATCAGAAACTCAAGTATTATATTCTTTTTAATTAAATACAATAAACTTGATAATTTTTATATTGTCACTCATGACATTTACAATCGATTTTTTTCGAACGAACCGAGACGATTTGGTTTTTATAAATTAAATTTCATTTTCTTAAAGAACTTTGACTTTAAGGATAACATTCTCATCACGGCACTCGCGTTTCACGCTCGTAAATTA